ATTTCATTGATTTTAAATTGGCATTATAAAATTTTGCTTGTCTATCTTGCATGTCTTCAGTTTCAGGTATTTTTACAATTTAAAAAACCACCCTGAATACATTTGTTCTTACTTTGAGCAGGCTTGCCTCTGCGCCGATCTGACCCGTAATTTGGTCTCACTTGCTTGTCAACAGTACATCGGTAAAAGGGACAAGTATGTCACTAACTGCATGGTTCCATAGAAATAGAAAGTTAAAACTATACTCCAGAACATTTTCTATGTATGATTTTTATGCCATAGTGTGGATTATTATAGACTGGGACAATATTTCCATGGAAACAAGCAGGACAATAAGCAGAGTAAGAAATCCAAGCCTGCTCACAGTAAGGACACATGTTTTTTGTCTGTTTTTCGGTGCAATAAACACAACCAAAATGAAACACGATTATTACTTTAGTCTAACTTAGTCTAATTTTGTCTTACATACTGTGACTTTAGCTTTAATTCCTAACCATTGAACAATCTGGTCAAAGCAATAACATTTTGCACACAACCTTCATCAGAAAAATTACACAGTGTACCTTAAATACAGAGGAGTTTTTCATTAGCTCTGAGCTGCGAGCACACAGACAAAGTGAAGCATGCTACTGTTATTGATTATGGTTATCATCCATGTCCAAACACTCAGCCTAAACAATGACTTTTACCATCTGCTTTTGTGAACTCAATTTCCTGGCAGCCTGTAAAAGAGCTATTTAAATACATTGGTCAAATTATTGTTTTATATCTGAAAAATGAAGTGTTATGATTAGACAATGTCAGATTTTGACATGTTAAAAAAGGATGAAAAAGGCAATTTTTTGACGGAGATAAAGCAGAAACCCTTTTGAGATTTTTGAGGTTGCAGTGTGGTCTTTTTGATATGGACAGAGTCATTGACGGTTTTTGAAAATTTGAAGTGAGGAAATTATGAACCAAAGCCTTCATTGTTTGGTTGTGCTTGTCTGTGATGCTCTGGGGACATGTTTATTTGTGGACTTCCTGGTTTCATGGTAAACATATGCACAGTCTCCTCCTTCTCCTCAGTCTCTGGGGAATGCACTCAATTAGTCATACAGCCTCTGTCAGACAGTGCTTTGAAAACTGGACTTGGATCAAATTTGGAATAAAAATAAATGTTTTGTCCACTGCATACCAGTTATATACTGACCATGAACTTTATGATCTTGGGAAGTGTCTGTTACTCCAAAGCATTTGACCCAATGAAATAGAAACCTTATATAATACTGTACAATATGAGTTCTACAGTTAAGTCATTTTAGGCTGAAAATGTAATGTGAACATGTGTCTGCTTTGGTCAGAATCAGTGTTGCCTCTTGTGTTAATAAAATCCCTAATTTTGTCAAAGGTTTGGACACATTCTTTCATTTCTTTCAATGTAGATCAAACTTATCAATGAACATGCAACAAATAAAAAATACTTATTCAAAACAACTCAAAACATAGCCACCCTTTGCTTTGAACCCTGGTTTGCACCATTGGCATTTCTTGACTCTGACAAGACACAGTTGTGAAGTGAAAACTATTTCAGGAGAATTCACCAAGAAGCTCACTGAGAGAAGGCCCAGGGTTTGCAGCAAGGTCGATAAAGCAAAGTGTGGATGCTTAGAGGATTTGAATACAAAAATATGAAACATATTTAGCTAACTTATTTAACTGTTTTTCTTTATACATAATTCTATTCCATCTTCTCCATATATTTGATTTGTCCCATGTATATAAAATATAGAAAGTAAAACCTAAAGAAAAAAAACTTGAATGAGAAGGTGTGCCTAAACTTTAACTAGTAGAGACATGGCTTGAAAAAATCTGATAACTGGAATAATCTGGTCAGCCAGTAACATGCCCAAAAGATGTATGGAATTTTAGACTAACTGTTGTATTTGGAAGACAATGAACAATATGCAGATGTTGACATAACATTTCAATAGTCTGATAACTCCAGAAATCAGATAATGCTTACATGTTTGAGTTTTCTAATCATTCTCATGCTGTATTTCCTTTAGATTTTGAGCCCTTATTTGAAGTCTTTATTTTCAGAGACAGTCTTCCCAAACCATTGCACATTTGCAGACAGTCACAGTGAAGGAGTGCACCAAACAGAGACGCTCACATTCATAAACAGGTGTCTGGTCTCATATAATAACACTGCTGTCTGTGCCAGCTGTGCCACATCAGCCCTGCTCCAACCACATGAACCCACAGGACCTTTGAACAGCTTCTCTTTGCTATTAAAACCTTCTCACTGTTTTTAGTTGCTTCAAAATACTCAAATTCAACCCTCAATTGTTGAATATTTTTTCTACTTGTCCTATTTTAAATAAACCAAAACAGTGTATCGGCCTTTACGAACCTCCTCCACAACTATTCCACCGTTCTTACACATTTGCTCATTCTTATATTCCTTTATTATAGGTAGTAGACTTGTATTACATTACACATTACATACCTTCCTTATTGCATTTTCATTATCGCAAACATCTAATGCACAGGAACTAGTTAGCCGTAACTGAAACCTTTTCTTAAATGTGATACACATTTGAACCTCACCCGATTTGACAACGCTATAAATGCACAAACACTGAAGATTCTATAGTAACCATACTTTAGACAAACATCTTTTTTTGAGATAAGTCTGTCATGATGATAAATTTTGAAGTACCCTATACTGTTGAAGTAAATATAGACCGATAATATTGCAACAAATTTGTGCCACTGACACAATAGCCCTATAGCAGGATTATACCCAAAACCTGTTCTAAATTATAATAAACTGCAAGTGCAATAAATAAGCAGCAGAATAACTTTAGTAGTTAATTTGTATCTGTAATGGGCTGCAGAAATTATTTATTCAACCCTCCACAGCTCAAATCTGATCATAGTACAGAAAAAAAAAAAAAAAAGTTCCTTATTAGTACAAAGAAAAAATCCCCAAGATAAATATTGACCACCAAAATGTATTCTTCCATTTAACATATATACAAACATTATTATTATTATTATACAAGTTGACATTATTTTAACAAGACTACGATTAAATTTGCTCTTGATCCTATAAACTGTTTTACTGATAAATACTAACTGAAATGTTAATAGAATGGTAGCCTATTTTAACGGTTAATCAGTATTACAAGAAAACAGAGTAGAGCTGAGTTAAATCTGACCTCATTAGTAAAACAGCAACTTTAATCATGGTCAGATATGGTAGATTTTGTTTCTATCTCTACAATAAACTCAGAGAAATCGCCACACTTCATACATTTAAGATGAACAATACACCATACCACAGAAGACAGAAGAGAGGATAAACATGTTTTAAAAGAATTAAACAAGTTCAATTAAAATGGTTCCAAACTGGGCAATGACAGCATACTTTTATTAGTTTCTTCAGCCCTTTAGTGCAGCCTGTTCTATTATGTGACCAGTACTAACACATTTACACACAAGCTACAAGCCTGTCACCTAAACACGTATTCATTATTTTCTTTTCTAACGCATAATGATCATGAGGTACAAATAGATTTTTTTCATTAAACTAAGATTCAGTGTGTAATGCTGAAGTTAACAATGTGATGAGAAAGCTTGAAACTGTAGCTCCAAGTTTAAAAATAAACTGTATTTCATAATCACTTTAATGGGACGCACAGATGGAGTTGGACTTTTGCAGATGTGTTACGGGACTCCAAACATCACCTCTCTGGTATTCGGAGGATTACATCAGGTCCTCCTCAGTCCGTCTGGTCTATAATAGTCTGGGTCTGGGTCTGGTCTGGGTCTGAGTCCGGATCTTGGTCTAGTTCCTGGTCTGGACTTGGGTCAGAGGGTCTTAGGGGATGAGCTCATAGTCCTGGTGCAGACTGGGTGACGTTGGCGGTCTGTTTTCTGTATCATTGACGTAACAGATAATTGGGACAAAGCTCTTTTCTTCAGTTTTGGCCATGGGGGCTGAGTGGATGTGGATGCAGTTGAAGTTAGAAGTTAGGAAAGAAGATATAGCTCCCAGTTTTGAAGCATACATTTTGAAAACCATCTAAATGTTGTGTAATGTATGTATGTATGAGCAGTTGGTCCAGAGGGGAGTTTAAACTGAGAGCAAACACTAAATTGATCTATTGTCTCTGCTCATAAACCTCAATATTAAAAGCAGTTTCAGTGTGTTTTTAATAAGAAAATCAAAATGGTATGAACAAATAATGATCAATAAATACTGAAATTGGCATATCAAAACTTAGGTATTGCTAGGTTAGTACTTTGAGACATTTTGAAACTGGCAGCTTTCAAACTTATTGTTGTTAAATAGGGGAAATAGAGATATTCCACTTCTCACATAGCACATGTATAATTTTAAGAGGGGCAAATTATGTAAATTTTACTTGGATGTGGTTTTATCCATGTTATTGCAGTGTTCCCTCATCATTATTTTAATCAATGTTGTATTTAGATTGATTCATGCATGTTTGAGTAATCTTTTGTTGTTCTGCATTCAAAGCTTTAGTGCTCTGAAAATATGTGTTTTCTCCTACCCCCCATCTCTGCCCACTGCTCTGTACTTAATTGTGATGATCAAAATGTCACTATGAGAAGACGGGATCTGTCAGTTCTGGAGTTTTGAACAGGAAGTCAATGGTGTCTCTTGTTAAGCCATTTTAGATCAATATCACAGTTAACAATAAACAAAAATGTATATTAATGATTGATGTATTTTATTGTTTAATACTTAAAACAGCACAAATTGTCTTCTTTAAAATGAAAAAATAAATCCCATTTGAACTACAGGTTTGCCCTATATAAACAGTAAGTAGGTTATGAGTGAAAAATAACTCATAACTGTCTTGTAAATGTAAATGACATCACTCTCATGTCTCCTTTGGTGATATCTCTGATTGGGTGTAGAGTGGGTGGATTACTTAAACCTGCTGCGTCTGACCCACTTCCTGTCTGTGTCTGTGTCTTCTCAGATGGACAGCACCTTTGGGAGACAGAGGCCAAGGTGGAGAGGGACACTGCCAAACCTGTAAGTCCTTCACCCGTGTACACAACATACTATTATCAAATTCACAGGGGAGAAGTTACACATTGAGGCCATTATCAAATCAAAAGCTGGGTTCAATCATTTGGACTAAACGTTACAAGGCTAAACATCTGCTGTCATGTGACTTTATTTAGAAGTGATCTACTATGATGTAACACTTTTTGGCAAGTTCTGTTTTGAAGTTTTTCCACATAGACAGCATAGAGGGACCATTTATCTAGCTTTTTATCTAGTTGTAAATTTATTTTGGAAGGTAAATTGTAATGATGCATTGACAAAAAGGGGCTAAAACAGTTTCAGAAATCATAAAACAGCATCATTTTATTTGACTCTTTCCCTACAATGTTCCACCATATGACATTAAAGGTCCTTGATAGCAAAATTGACAATCATGAGCTTTTAGCCATGTTAGAATATTGTTATCTCATTGAAAACATGCTCGGTGTTTTGTTTCATTCACACATGTTTAAGTAATCCCACATTATTAAACATCTCCAAAGCTCAAAATTCTCTGTTCCTGTAGCTGTAGCTGCAGTTTACAGGTTAACAGCTACCTTTTAACTTTTTGTTTAGTAGCAATTGACAACTTCAGGACAGTCAGGAAGGTGTAGTGGAGAGTTTAAAAACACAGTGGAGCACATGGCATCACAAGGGGGAACAAAGTGTTTGCAAGAAGAACTCATTCTGAATAATGATCTGGGTTTGCATGAATGAAACAAACCAACTTCAGGTATGTTTTTGATGAGGAAACAGAATTATAATGTAAATAAGAAAACAGCATAATATCTTGAACACACATTCTTACTATGAATGGACTCGCCTCTCCACAGATTTGACCTGTAACCTGGTGGTCCCTATGGAGATGATATATACATTAAATGCCATACTGTTGAACAATCTAGGCGTATCTTCCACCAAAAAAGTTACGTAGTTCACCTTTAATTTTAAACTGTTATAAACACACTTGAATTTAAAACATGTTCCAAAGTGAATATCTTGTACATCTTGGTTACCTATTCTTTTGTAATTATCTGACAGAAATCACAGTTGAAAAGGTTTACATAATTATCCTCAAAAGTATAAAGCTCTTAAATCTCAGAAACCAAATTCCTGTCTTGAGACTAGTGCCTGGGTCGGACTAGAGTTTAGTCAAATAAATGGTCTATGGCCCACAGCAGGAGCCTATTCATTTACACTGGGCCTGGAGACAGTATGGACTTTATTACTGAGAGACTTGGTGGTCTCAAACTTAGACTGTTAACTGTGGAGCAGGCCAGGATCGTGCTTTGGGACAGAGAAATGTTGTGTTTAAAATGTGTTGAAAAGGTTTGAAAAGTTCAGGCTCTGATCTAAGGAGGAGGAGCCTGGCTGTGGCTCTGGGCTTTTCCTGTGAGATAGAGAGAGGTTTCCCTGCGTCAGACTGGAGGAAAAATAAAGGAGAGATTAGAGAAACAAAGAGGATTTGACAGTAAGGTGAATATCTCAACTGCTCAATTTGGAGAAAAGTAAAGAAGAGATTTGACAGAGGAGAAAGTGTTTGAAAGTAAAGTCAAAGTCAATACTAAAATCCTCTCTTGACATAAACATCATTGCTTGAGCAGTCTGATCTACTGGCCCATAGGTTGGCAGTGCGATTCCAGCTCCCACAGATAAATGCTGCTGTTGTGCTCATGTAATTTTAGTACTCTATATAACGTAACAAAAATGCCACCAAATGAATATGAAGTTACCTGAAATTGTTGAAAGAGATTGACAATGTATCAAATTCATGAATTGTGGTGATTGTTGTTTAGAAGATGTGCAAAATTTTAGTATTGGGTAGTTTTAAAAAAAATTGTCTGATTAAAATGTTTTAAATATTAAAGTGACCTTTCAAAAGAGAGTCAAAGAGGGTCAGTGTTGGGAAGTAACTGAATACATACCAAGAATACTTGTTCAGAATACTTTTGAGTAATTGTATTCAGGTACAGTTACTTTTTTCATTTGGTTGTATTCAGAACACAGTTACTTTTCTAAAATCAAAGGAATACATTGCAGTACTTGATCACACCGTTTAAGCATCAAACTGCACAATATTAGAGAGAAAAACACTTCTGGTTATTAATCCTATGTTGCTTTACACTGTCATTTAAATGCAACTCAATGTAAAAGTATTTTAAGTATTCAGAATACAGAGTTCTGATTGAATCATGTATTAGAATACATTACAGAATACATTTTAATGCAGGTAGTCAGTATTCTGTAACTATATACATTATCAAAGTATTCTTCCCATCACTGAAGAGAGTATAAAGTGATTGATTTCTGCATGTTTGTGGGCAAATGTAATTTCACATTCGTGTCACTCTAATGCAAAACTAATGCATTTAAAGTTGAAAAAAAGAATTGACCAAATACCTTCTGATCGTAGAGTTAGATGAATTTGTCAGTATTGCCCATGTAGCTTTGGAATTGTAGAAATTATGTTACTTTTCCACATGTTACTTCAGTTCAGTAGTAATTTTCCAACTTCTAGGTCGTCATTAAAAGGTATTAAAGACAATTTGGCATTTTAGCTCGTGACTGTGGCGAGCTGAGGTTTGTTCAGGTGCTTGTGTCTAAACCACTTCCATGCTCCCATTACAAGTGCATTCTCCTTGACCAAGTTTCACCTCACATTTTCACATTCTCACATTCTCTGTCACCTGCACAAACTTTAAGAGGAAGAACAATCGATGTAGCAGCTGTGATCCAGTCTGAGGCATTTTCAGTTGGACACATCAAATTAAACTGAGAAATTTTCGCTCAAGAGGTCCACAAATGCTCCTCTGTGTCCCATCTGTCACCTCTCTCTCTCTCTCTTTCTGCCTCTCTCACTCTATTTCTTAATCCCTCTCTCCCTCTCTCTGTTTCTGCTCCCTGACTCTCTACTACTACTAGTATGAGTTCTACTTCTAATACCATTAATATACAACTACTATACAACTATTACTGCTCTTTCCACTACAGCCAGTGTGTTGCTGTAACTGCTACTTCTATTACTATACTTCATGCAACAAAGGAGACAAGGAAGTATTTCAATATACTGTATCTATACAGATTTCTTGCTCATTGTTGTAAGTAAAAGACTGCTACTACCACTGCTGTAGTTACTTCCATAACTTATAATTACATAACCTTCATTTATATTTCTACCCATTTTGGTAAAATGTAAGATTCAAGGGCAAACAACATTTCTTCAAAAAAATGAAACATCTTGTGAAAATACATCTACATTTCTTAAAATATTTCTTCCTGACATTTTGAGTTTTTAGTACAACATAAAAACACAGATGCACAAGGCTGTATCCATCTGGTTTCTATTGCACAACCACTGCAAAAACGTAAATGTGTCCTGAGTCTGTCCTGTCACTGGGTCTCCAAAGATCCGCTTTGCAGACAGATGACTCTCTCCTGCACATCCCTCGACACACTCATGTTCATAGATTTACATTCAAACAGGACGTGAGAGCAGTCATCTCTCCACAGACAGAAGCTCTTGGCTCCGGGGTCTCTGTCTTGATTTATTCCTTGGCCTCCTCTCGACTGTCAAAGAGCGATAAATTGTTTCTTAAATTTGAACGGCTTGTCCTTAAAGTTCATGTGTTAGAAACTACAAAAAGGCAAGAATAAAGATGGTTTGAGACTGACTAAATAGACTAGATGTATTTGGAGTTCCCTGTCTACCAGATAGAAATGATATTGCTTTGTGTAGAATGTTCCACAGTATAGATTAAAGGTATCTATCACGAAGGGGACAAGCAGGTTACAGCACTACGCTACATTACAACTCAGATCTATGGAGAGTCTCCCCTATTCACTAAAGAAATCATTGTATTTTTGAGCAATAGAAACACCTGCAATGAGTAAATGCTAGATGTATTTGTTTAATGTCATACCATGGAATATTTCAGGCAAAGCAATAACATGTCCATGGAGACAAGTAGGTAGCGGACTTACCACCAGCAAAGTTGTGCAGTGTACCTTATACCTAAATAAATCAAAATAAATAAATTATGTCACCCCATTTCTAATATTTACTGATCCAAAGCAAATTTTGATGACATAATACATAAATGTTAAGTCAATGAGTATAGGTGAGGCATGTGAGGTATGAGAAATTGTGGTAGTGAACATGTGTGTAGTGACATCACCCTGAGGGAGTCTACGTGTATGTCTGGCAGAATGTTGAGCAGTTTTTATGGTGACACAATGCACTCTTTAGCAAACACTGCCAAAAAAGTTGTAAGGCTGTCTAAAAGTTCAAGATAAATAGAAAATAGATATTCAGTTAGTTTGTCAGTTAGATATTCAGTTAGCATCACACCCTCAGGGAATGTGGACGTCATATGAAAAGTATCAGGCTCTGAGTATGTTTGTGTCAAAATAGTTCAGCGCTTCACCTCACAGCAAGAAGGTGCTGGGTTCAATTCCCAAATTGGACAAGATCTTTCTTTATGGAGTTTGTATCTTTGTGTTTGTAACTCCAAGTACCCCACTTTTGCCTTTACCTCCAAAAACATGCTACTCAAGAGTCATCGAATTGCAGTGGCTCAGTCAGACCTTACCTTTAATCTGAGCTCTGCAATTTAGTTTAGAACTTGTGTGTATAATGACAAATAAACTACTTCAATTGTACCTGTTTACTAGATGTAAAAATACACAGTTTCTCATGCTGTGTTGTGTGTGCTCTCTTGCAGATAATGTTATTCTTGATCACATAGTACTGTAATATAACAGTTTTTCTCCTGTCACAGAACACACTGGTGGTGGAAGTCCCTCCGTACAGGACCCAAAGGCTGTCGGCTCCAGTTCACGTCAACTTCTTCGTGTGCACTGGTAAACGCAAACGCAGCCAATACCAGCGCTTCACCTACGTCCCCGCCACTGGTCAGTCTGAGTATTACAATATAATATACATACATTATTGAATTATTGAAATAAACCAGTCAACTTAAACCACCAAGGATGTGTCAAAGCTTTCCTAGTTTGGTCTTGATTTGGGTTGGGTTTAGTACAGATGTAGACTTAGCTTGGTCCTGTTCAACTCCTTTTAGTTTAGAATTGGACTTGAGTCACCATCAAACCTTTTAATGTGCAATATATTGATGAAGAGAATACAGACAATAGATTATAATATTGAAACTAATTTATGCCACTGACACATTAACCCTAAAGCAGGATTATCTGCCAAAATACTTGTACACTATGTACATCATTCATAAAAAATCATGAACTGCAAAAAATAAATAGGGGGATGAAAGTGAAAAGTGCTTCGTTTGTGTCTACAATGAGTCATAGAAGAAGTTATTTATTGAACTTTCACCCACTCAATCTTATTGCAGTACAGAGGAATAACAAAAAATCCCCAGAAGTGCAAAGAAAAACCCATGATAAGTAATGACCTGCAAAAATATTGTTCCATTTTTTATTTATTGAGCGATAAATTGATGTAGTTTTTATCATGACAGGCTTAGAGATAAAAGAAATAAAAGTGCAAAATAACATTCAATTGGCTATTGGGATAATTCTGGTAGATTTGCATTGTGTATTCATTAATATGCATTGTCCCTTTAAACAAATAAATCTAAATTCAGGTGATTTTGAAATTACACTACATGCAGGGTCATGTGAAATTGTTGAGAAGTGCATTTTCAGCTTCTGTGTTTTTTAATAGTCTTCAGTAAGGATAGGCACTCCACTAACAAGCTACAAAAACTACTGCATCCCCTCAGTTATGAGCAAAAACATGACGTTTGTATCTAAACTGCTGTTTTTAACTTGTACTCATTAAACGTAAGCTGTAAAATCAACAAACATTGGATAATAGTTTTTAATTTTACTAAACTTTATTATTACATTTTATATTGTTTTTACATGCGAGACAGACTGTATTGCTTTTGTCTGGTGGTTTGTAAGGGAGGAACAAAGCTGCATTATTATTTAGGGAACCCTCCATAAAACGTGTTATTTTTCAAACCTGGATGTGACCGCTCCAACTCAAAACTGGGCGGGACAAGGGATATGGGGGGACATGGGAACTGCAAGTCTTTTCAATAGAGAAGTTACCGCCAAGCTAAATATAAACACAAACTTTAATGTAAAAAGTAATTGGTGAAGGTTTGGATGAAGTTTGTATGGGAGGTTCAAAGCTTCATGACTCATTTGGACCCAGCCTGAATGTGAGGGCGAGTGACTGTCCTGAAGTGAATGTACTGCATTGTATTGGGATGAAGGAGAGAGAGGGAGGGAGGAAGGGAGCGGGATAGGGAGGAAGGAGGGGAGGCAGAGAACGAGGAGAGAAAGAGGAAGAGAGAGGGTGAAAGAGACAGTGGGGGAGAGAGAGGGCTAGAGAGGGGTAAATAGAGCGAGGGTGAGAGAGAGGAGGAGGAAGGAGAGAATAGGGGGTTGTAAAAGAGACCATGGCAGAGAGAGAGAAGCAAAATGGAGGGAGCAATAAGAGAGGGAGAGAGAACAGAGAAATGGAGACTGAGGAAGATAATACAATATATTTATATAGCACATTTTAAAACAACTAGGCTGCACCAAAGTGATTTACAGTAGATCAACATATAAAAGTACACAATGTGTAGTTATGAAAAAGATAAACATAAGTTCAAGAAATGAGCTGAAAGCCAGGTGGGAGAGGTAGCAAGAGAGGGAGAGACAGAGAGAAAGGGAGAGAATGAGGGTGTGAGAGAGAGGAGAGGAGGGTGTGGTCAGTGTCTTCTACAGGTCAAAGTCGAAGAGAAACTTGGGGAAAACCATGTGGTTTGGCAAAATGAGGTAAAACGTGAATAGGGTGCGTTTTCAGTGGCGCTGGTGGTTAGCATGAGAAGCTTAGCATTTAGATTGAAAAGGTTGTTTAAATGTTTGAGGAGCCAACAGTTTTGTCATGGACCCAACATTTTCAACTTTAATAGAATCACTAATTTAAACAACCACTGTTCTTAAAAGTGTTTTTTTCAAGTTGAATCAAAAGAACCTATTCATGGGTTTCAGAATGACGAAAAATGAGTACTGTTGGCAAAATGATTAACAGTGTTTAACCTAAACATTATATTTTATGAATGGAGGAAGTCCTAAAAATGTTGCATATAACAAGAAGCTGAAACCCAATAGGTGCCATGATTTTGACCACTCAAACAATATAATATTTTATTTTGAATTGATTACTGCTATGGCAACTTTGCAAATTTTTCATCTGAAACCAATAACTAGTTACCTTACAGCCTTCATTGGACTATTCCTTGATTTCAGCTTCCTTTTGAAGACTTTTTCCCATTCAAAAGATATAACATTTTGTTTTAAATTATTAACCACTGTGATTTCGGTCCAGATTTCTCATTATACTGAAACCCATGGATAACTAAACAATAGAATTATTATTTATAGTCTTTGTCATTTCAACCACATGTTTTAAGCAGTTTTAGGTCCGCTGTGAAATGTCCAACTTGTACTAGAACACCGGTTTTATTCTTAGGTATCAACATTTGAGAAGTCTTGTTTGCAGTGTGTGTAATTCTGTCTTGTCCACTCTCTCTGTCTGTCCTCTGTATAGAAGAATAATTCATCTTAAAGTGACTATTCCCACATGTTGCTTCTGCTGCTACGACATATTTCTTAAAACACATTCTGAAGAATTATCGCGATCCTAAATCCAAGTCAAACAGGACTTTTAGTGTCCCGGGCGCTGGAAGTTTCTCATGTTGGTGACTCAGTCTTTTATGGGTTTGGAGTCTTTTTAAAGTAAGAGTGGTCATACAAGAAACAGGTCCAAAAAACTCACTGTTCAAGGCTATATATAATGTTCACTCAAGTTATGTGGCTATTCATGCACCAAAAAGGAGCCTGTTTAGCTGGTTTAATATGATGCTGAAGTAATATAGGGTTAGTAACATAATTGATTAGTTATTAATGAACTCAAGAGTATGCAAGTTTGCCCTCAGTTGTAGATACATTTGAAAGAACAGACTTGTAATAGAACAGTTTTAATATTAAGTGGTTCTTCATGCTTCAATCGATTTTTTGTGCATATAGCAAACTGAAATAACTGAAATTATAATTACTGAGCCACAAAAATATCAATGTCATTTTATCAATTTAATCATTGTAATTCATTTCACTCCTAATCATAAGCCTATAAAATGTGATGATGTAATTTGAAAATTAATTATCCATTTCTTTTCTCTATCCTCAGTCCCAACTATAAAGACAGAGCCTCATGACGACTTTGACAGCTCTCTCGTCTGCACTTCGCTGCCTCTGCACCCAAAACCGTACTTCCCCCCACCCACTCTCACTCCCATAATCCTCAGCGGTCCTGGGTCACCCTTCTCCTCTACTCAAACACCTCAGCGCATCACCCCGAAGCCTCCACCGCCCATACCTCCTGCCTCACCCAGCCCCAAACTCCACAGCCTGTCACCCACGGCAACGACCTTCAACCTCCCCATACCCCATGTGTCAATCATCCAAGAGACACCCGGGCGGTTCGCTTCAAGTCCGCTGTCCCAACCGTCCACGCCAAGCCCAGAATCGCCATTTTCTAACAACAACACTACAAATGTTCAGCCCGCCCCCAGCCCCTCTCCTCTGCCCCTTCCACCCAAAGACAGGTCTAGGGATGGAGCCAGCACCCCCTCGCAGGGAGCTCCCGTCAGCATCAAGCAAGAACCACAAGAGCTGGACCAGATGTACCTCGATGATGGTGAGTACCATACGTTTGCTTACTGCTTTGGCTCTAGCTTTGATTGAAAAAAGTACAGGCACCAGAATTTTTTTTAATGGCCTCTTTCTGATAGAAGTTAGACTTAGACTTAGACAAACTTAGTTGATTCACAAGGGAAATTATTTGGACAGAGTAGCTCACAATCACAATAAATATAATAACAAAGAGCAACAATATAAATGGTAATAATAAATTCAAAGCAAAAATAGCCACAGACTGGTTTAATATGACAAAATCATATAAATGTATGTACAAGTAAAAATAAAATATAGAAATATAGTAATACACATTTATCTCAGGTATATACAAGAAGTTGTAAGGAGAAACAGTGCAAAGATGAAATAATGATTGACAGGACATGGGTTTATTTATTACATAAGGGTACAGTTGTATGGAGTATTGTATGAATGTAGTCCTGTATCTGTCACTGTTTAAGCAGAGATGTAGGAGCCTGTTGGAGAATGAGCTTCTCTAAAATTTCTGTTAAATTTTAGTTAATAAAATATTAGGAAAGAATGGAATAATTATAGACAAATATGGAGTCTTATTCTAACAGAAACCAATCATGTTGTTGATCCAATAAAGAACTTACCTCATGGAGACCAGATTTTTGGTAACAACACAGTACCCACACATATTTATACAACATGTTGAGTATAGGAATGAGGATTGAACCTCAAACTGTTTGGTTAGGAGTCAAATTTGTCCAGTGTATTGCTGTGACTTTTTTTTTCAACTGCAGGTGGTATTTATTGCTCAAAAATATCTTAAAAAACATATATTTTTGTGAGCGTGACTGTGAGTGGGGTTGCCTCTTCACAGATCTAACTTGTAATGTGGCTTGCAAGATTCCATGGAGATTCTTAAGTTTATGGCTATACGGTGGAACATTCTAAGTACATTTCCATGGAGACAAGCAGGTGACGGACCCTCCACCAGAAAAGTTACAGAGTGCAACTTTAAATAAGAAATTGCTTTAGCACTGTATGGCAAATTGTAAATGTTCTTATGAGAGACTTGCAACTTTGAGCCAGTGACTAAAGCCTTTCAAAACCAAAACACTTAATTTTAAAATGTGGAAACAGTGAGCCGCCAAATTAAAAGACAATGAGGTTTTTATATAAAGACCTCAAAATGGCGTCCGCCCTGCACACTGTCCGCAGGTGCACTGGTGTTTAATAGGTATCGTATGAGTCACAACATGTACAGCCAGGAATGGAGAATAACTTTGGCTCAGAGAAGTCACTTGTGCAAGTTTGGTTTGAGGGCAAAAACTGTCCCTGTTTTCATTTAAATATAACAATGAACAAAGCACATTTCAGATGCAATTATTTTAGACAAGAGTGTTTTTGTCACAGGATTTTATTGGCTCATAGTTTTAGCGCCGAGAACTATTTCATTAGAGCTGTTTGATATATAGCCTTGAAGGGATACTATTCATATTGGTGTGATTTTAACTTTTGCTGCAATATCATTTTTTCCATTCACTTTTCACATGTTAATCTGTTCGAAAATCAAAAAACACATTTAGAGAATAAGCCAGCCATTCACAGACTTAACACATGCTTCTTTACTTATGTAGGATTTTTAACTTTTAGTTTATTTCACAGACCTCCTCAGCTAGGGCATATAGGTTCTCAATACAATTATCCAACCTGAAAGCAGAATGAGCTCATTACTTTGGGTTGCCATTTACACTGCTCTGGCATCTAAACCACTAGGAGTTTATGCAACACGTACTGTATATGACAGTCATGTTTTTCTAATTCTAACTTGGTTTGGTGGGGTAATGCCTAAATATTTTTCATAGCTTTACATCATTTAAGTGGGAGTCTACTGGAAAAGATGAGAAGAAAATTACAAAAATGCAAGAAGTAGAGTTGAGTTCTAAAACAAAATCCTTCTACCTGTGTCATCAACACTGAAAATTTCATCCAAAATGTAGTGACAATTTACGTACAAGGAAGGCATTTTTCTGACACTTTAAACCTTCATTTAACAACATAAATGTGTTGTCATTTATTGTATTAGTGTATTCATAACTATTGTGTAATTTAAACATGTTTTGATGCTTGTTAACATCATGGTTGCTAGGTAACTAATGGAATTACCCCTACACATGTCATATCTGCTGCCTGCACAGCCAGGAAGTGAAATCATAAACTAGGCAAGAGTCTTAGTCAAACCTTAAATATAATGTTGTTAATGATGTGTTAGTGAAATAAGTAATCTAACCTGTCACATGCACTCAGCTTTGACATGGAAAGATATGATACATTTCTTACCAAAATCCTGTAGCTTTAATTCGTTTATCATGAGTCTTCTTTACCTTTAGTTAACCTCTCTCTTTACATTTTGCTCATTGTAAAGTTTTGGCAAAGACACAACATTTCTCATTCTCCTCAGCCCTGTTAATTCATTTTATTATGAGCAGCGCATTTGGTTTGAGGGGCAGGGGAGGTCAGTGCGGTCGCATTTTGATTTGGTTTTACAGCATTGCCCCTGACGCTGTTGCGTTTTCTCTTTTCTGTGGAGATTTAATGAAAGAAAGTGGGACTAGAGCTGCTACTTTGGGATTTGAATTCCTGAAGAAGCTGCCAGAGTTTGATCACATCATAAAGTCTCTCTTTTGACCCTGTTACTGACTCCATCCACAGAATCATGATCTCACTGGTCTCCATGAGGGGCTGGTGTGTCTTTCAAAATAAAGTGCAAAAGATGGAAGATGTAAAGGCTATAACTTAGACTTATGTAGAATTATTTATCTTTGTCATAATATCATGGGTTTCAGGTTCATGTTATAGTCAACATTTTGATGACTTTTCAGCACTGAAAAGGTGTTGTTTTAATGGTTAATCACTATAGCAACTGTTGTAATTAATTTAGTTCAGCATTCTGTAACAAATAGTATGTCATTTTTGTGCTTGTGAGTTTTGCCTAACACCTTGGCAGGGGTTAGGCATCATTCATTCATTCTTTTGATCATGGTCTTTTCAAAATCATGTGCATACATTTTGCACAGTACTGTTAATTGGATAGAGGTTTCAAAGTAAATAAGTATATGAAGGAGCAGTAGATATAGACGCTTTAATGTTTCTCAAATTCAGGCATTGTTTGGTCTAGACTTGGTCTGGACTTGGACTTCCTGAGCTGGGCTGGTCTCTGCCACTTCCACTCAGTGTCTGGAGTAAAAACATTCACACCCCTCCTGTCTGTAACATTTAACTATAATAAAGCCAAATAAGGCAGGGATTTCTCATTGTACTTTCACTAATCCACGGGTAGTAGAATAATTGAAAATGAGGACTGTTGCCCTAGTGATTAACAATTTCAAACTAAATATTATATCTTCTGAATGAGAAAAATGTGGTAGATAACAAGAAGCTGAAACCCATGAATAGATAGTGTAACAGAAGTAGCAGTAGTAATATAAGTTGCAGTGGTAGCTATTGTTGTTACAATACAGCAAACATTTCAAACTTCATTGTAATACTATAAGAAAAAGGCTTGATGTCAATAGGCTACCACAGTGATAATAAAAACACATTTTCTTAGACAATAGAATGTAATTTTCAACTCAAAATAATACCATTACCATTAACACATGGCCTTACACTAGTTCTGATATAGAACATTTTTAAAATATTCAAGAAAGATCCATGTGTTCTGTTAATCTGAATACATTTTCAGTATTGATTCAAATGAGTATCTAATATTGCTAGTCTTAGGCTGCGTTCAGACTGCAGCCTGAAGTGACCCAAATCCAATTTTTTGGCTTCTATGTGACCTGTATCTGATCTTTTAACGACACAGATCCAATTTTTTCAAATGCGACCCAGGCCACTTGGATATGTGGTCCTGAAACTGATACATATCCAATCTTTTGACATGCGACTTCAGTGTGAACGGCCAAAGTGCATTCATTCGACCTACGTGTTATCAACAAGCCACAAACGTCGCTATTCTGTGCTGAAGTAGGCAAAAATTGTTAATGAACTCCGTGTCACTGAAGTGAAGCACATCACCACTCACCACTCTTGGCTACGTCTCCACATCCACACGTTCCTTTCAACGGACGTCACTGCCGCTGTCCCGCAAAACGCCACGGCCAAAAACCTCGTCCTTCTCCTTCTCAATCTCCTCCTTAAAACAAGTAAGTTGTACATGTTCTGGCTCCGGTACGAGAGAAACTTTAAAATCGCCAGGTGCTCAAAGCTCGCGTCCATGTTTGGACAACTTCCGTAAACACAGAGCACGCTCGCTGCGGTTGACGTCATCGTGTCCTCCAGTGCGCATGCGGGACACTTTTGAGCCGTTTACTGTTCACACTGGAGTCACATACAAGACGCATTTAATTGGAAATGTGAACGACCTCACAAAAACATCGGATTTCACAAAAAAATTGGAATTGAGCGTTAAGCCCTGCAGTCTGAACGTAGACCAAGTGGCCTGGGTCGCATTTGAAAAAATCTGATCTGTGTCGTTCAGACTGTCATTAAAAGATCAGATACAGGTAACATAGAGGCCAAAAAATCGGATTTGGGTCACTTCAGGCTGCAGTCTGAATGCAGCCTTAGTATCTATTAGTATTTGGATTTTGATACTCAACAAATCCTGGTACAATGGAATTTGCGGTAGTAGCACCAGCACCAATTATCTACTTCATGCAATACTGTTGTACCGTGTCTATTTCATTGAATACTTCTATTTTACAATTGTCCTTGCAGTAGGCCATATGTTTTTCTCGAGTTCACTATTTGAGTTCTTGTTTCGCTCCTGTTTCTCATCTGTACCACTGCTGCACAGCCATAACACACTGTACTTTATAACTGTAAAAGTGAGCCTACCATTAGCTTGTGTTTGTGTTGGATGTTTATATGAAACTTTAGCGCTCGTGGCTAACGTCATGCGCCCCTCACTTCATTAAAACATTCAGTGTGATGCAGTGATTTCCTGTATGGCTTTGACTCAGGTGAGCG